ACCAAGACAGGCTATGTGCCTTCGCCAACAAGTTCAACTACGGTTGAACCAAGACAGGCTATGCACCTTCACCAAAAAAAGTTCAACTACGGTTGTACCGGGACTCAGGCTATGCGCCTTCACCAAAAAGGTTCAACTACGGTTGAACCGAGACTCAGGCTACCCGCCTTCGCCAAAAAGTTCAACTACGGTTGAACCAAGACAGGCTATGCGCCTTCACCAAAAAAATTCAACTACGGTTGAACCAAGACAGGCTATGCGCCTTCGCCAAAAAGTTCAACTACGGTTGAACCAAGATAGGCTATGCGCCTTCACCAGAAAGTTCAACTACGGTTGAACCGGGACTCAGGCTATGTGCCTTCGCCATTATATCAAGGCTATACGCCTTTGCCAAAAAGTTCAACTACGATTGAACCAAGACGAGCTACGCGCCTTCACCAACAAGTTCAACCACGGTTGAACCAAGACAGGCTATGAGCCTTCGCCACCAAATTTAACAAAGTCCAACAACAGTCGAACTGAGACTCCGGCTGCGTGCCTTCACCAGTAAGTCCAGCCACGGTCGAACCTAGACTCAGGCTATGCGCCTTCGCTATTGAATCCAACGAGCTCGACCTCACTCGAACTACAAGGATGGACGCCTTCGTCCTCAACTTTAGCAAGTTCAACCACAGTTGAATCGAGACTCAGGCCAAACGCCTTCATCTGTGAAAGCAAAGCCCGACCTCCAACAAATCAAAGCGCAGGATAGGCACCCTCGCCATTCAAGTAAGTTCCCCCAACTCGAATTAAGATTCGGGCCACGTAAAGTTCGGCCCCGGTCAAACTACGAGGCCGCATTTTTTACTATCACGACCGGTAGTTCGACCGCGCCCGAACTGGGACTAAGGCTAAGCGCCGCTATCGCCAAATAACGGCTAAGACTCGCCCACACCGAGTTGAAAAAGCAAGGCCATCAATTATATTATGTCTAAGGACATCGCCACCAATGGTCGACCTAGATTCGACTGCGGTGGGTAAACAGTTTGACGACAGTCGAAGTTGCCTTTATGGCTAAGGCCGCCGATTCCATCACGACTAAAGCCGTCGATCTAAATTCGACTAGGGCCGCCAACGCCGACGGTCAACAAATAAGCACCAGGCAGGCAATGGAAAAGAAAAGTTTATATATTTACAAAGTCAATGACGGGTCATCCCCGCTTACACCCGGCCAAAGCCGATCAATACAAGAAATAAAAAAAA